TGCCATGCTATCGATAATGATAGTTCATCCTTATTGTTTATACACTCGTCTTCTCTTGCTGTTTTATAGATATATATCGCTTCCATCCAGCGCAAATGGTGTATTAGCTGTGTGGTGTAAATTATTTTTGCCTCGTCAAATATAGCTTGTATGTCAGGGTCCGTGGCATATTGCGCTAATGCTGTAGTATATCTTTTATGTATGATGTCTGCTTTGTGTTCTTTGATCCTCACCTCCAACAATCTTTTTGTGGATCCCACATATACTAAGTCTTTATCACACCTATGATCTTTTATAGGGATCCTGTATACACCTGCTAATTTGTTTTGGTGTGGCATGTCTTTTGCATTATTTAGCATTCTAAATATAGTGGGACATCTTCTAATTATTAAGGAGGCTTGTTTTCTTTTGGCGATCTCTTTGTAGATTTTCTCTAAGTAGATTGTTGGAGGTGAGGATCAAAGAACACAAAGCAGACATCATACATAAAAGATATACTACAGCATTAGCGCAATATGCCACGGACCCTGACATACAAGCTATATTTGACGAGGCAAAAATAATTTACACCACACAGCAAATACACCATTTGCGCTGGATGGAAGTGATATATATCTATAAAACAGCAAGAGAAGACGAGTGTATAAACAATAAGGATGAACTATCATTATCGATAGTATGGCAAACTCTTATTTATGACACTTGAGTAGCCTAAAACGATCCTTCTATCTACAGAGCATGCGCAAGTTTAATACGATGATTGCACAAGTTTCCTTAGAACATTACGTTCAGATTTTCGAATAACACTGATTTATTCACCTGAGGAAGAACTAAGTTCGAAAACGTTTGTAAAAATATTTGGAAATAAGCACTGTTTTGGTTTACAGCAGAAGTAAGTCATTTGCTGGGTGTATATACATTATACCATTACAATATGGACAGTTTAACACGTGACTATCACACATAGGATCTACATACAAATCCTTGCAAGCCAGAATATACGTCACCACAAATACGATATAGCCAAGGGGAATTTCAATACAGCACTTGCCCATTTTGCTACTTAACCTGATGCTGGGATAAAGCTACACTTTTACACAGGATCTTTGACCAACACAACTTATGGCTTTAGAAATCTATATGGCTGAGAAGAAAGGATGTTGCATTAACTCTGACAGCATTACAGTACCACAAGCATGGAAATATTTTATAGATTCGCACAGAATTTAATGTTTTTAATTTTATTACTTAATATCATGCCATGTAAAGAATTGAACTGTTGAAACCTTTCATTTATTTTTATGCTTTAAACTGTGCATCATACACCTATTGAACATCTTTTTGAATATTTGGAACTCCTATTTTAAATGTAATGGTATTCTCTGTTGAATGATAGAATTGTTTTTTGTTTTATCTCCTGATGAGGACCTCTAATTTGTGGCCGAAAACATTAGAACAGTAGTTATTTGCTGGAAGTTGCATATAGGTGTTTTCTTCACCGTTGTACTATTCCAGTTTTTACCTGTGCTGTTGTTTAAATAAACTTTATTAAATATGAAGATTAATCTACAAAAATGAAACACAGTGACAGTCTTAAAGGCTAAAATCTGAAAGCAATGACGATACCTGGTTGAGAGGAACGCTAGAACGAGGAAGAAAAAATTGCACTATCAGTTTTTATTAAAGTAAACCTGATAAAAAGCACCAAACAAATTGACATTTTCAATATTCTAAAATCCATGGAAAATTTGAGACAGCATGCATGCTTACTTGAATAAAAAAAATATCAAACAACAGAGTTTGCACTTAAAAATTGTGAAATTTTGTATGGAAGATTTCCCATATTATCAAACTGTGTTGTAGCTTTAAAGGTTGCAGAACTTTCTGCAAGACGAAAAAGAAAATACTTAAAAACATCCTTTCCAATTATTAATTATTACTTATATCTTAGTTTCAAATATGGCACTAAAAGATCAACACTAAAATTATTTAAACTGAGTTGTAGGCCAGTTGCACAAGTTTTAATTTCAAGGTTAAATGTTCCTTAAACTATACAATTACTACAATTATTAGTATTAGTATTACTACAATACAGAATTACTGATGCATTGCATGAATGTAAATCTTTAAAATAAACTGTTGGACAATTTTGGACAGTTAAAATTTGGCATTTGTACTAGATTTCTGACTATAATGTGGATGATATACATTTAAACTACTTAAATAAAACTTATCCTAATCCCAATTGAATGTTTAAAAAAATTAGATTCTATAATGATTTATAGTAATTGTAAATTTCAAGAGCAATTCCAAAATTTAAAAACAGCTGTTTTATATTTATTGTAGAGTTAAGTGAATCATATTTTACATAAATCTTTTTTATCATAAAATATGTATATTCAAATTCTGTAGATAATATCTGCCAAATTCTACTAACACATATTTTTCTTGGCCCTGAAATTCATTATATGCTCTCACCTATTTATTTTTCACTCCATCCTGTTTACAATTGTTCTTGATAACACAATTGTGCATTATTCAGTTAACTGGCTAAAAATTAACTGTTTAAACAATATAACTTATGAAACTAATATAAAAAAAGAAAAGTTTTATTTGTGAAAAGTTTAACTTAAGTTTACCATTTCACAAATTATATTTTAAATAGTTGTATTTTAAACAGTAAAACATACAATAAGGCCTAAAGAAAATATTAAAGAATCTGCAATTGCTTCAATATCCTTAAGATTCCTTACACAAAATGATGATATCCTTGGCATTATCAAAATCATAAGTAATGCTAGAATTTAATTTATAAAGAAAAGATATCAAAACAATAAGAGCTTGTAGAATAATACTGTAAAATAAATAGTGGCAATATGATATCTTTTTAAGAGATGAGAAAAAATTTAATTTGTATTGACTAAATAGTTCTGCAATTTTAATAGTACCATTTGAAAAATAAACAAATATCTTTCAAATAAAAATAATAAAAGTTCTGTCACACTATGAACAGGATAGGAATAAGATACAGTGAATGTATTAAGTTAATATTTATAAATAAAAATAAATGCTAAAAATATATTAATCATTATTTATAAAAGAAGATTCATTCAAAAAAAAAGAAAATATAGTGACATCGATAGGACAGTGTTCAATATATATTACTGATTCCATATGATTTCTGAACAATAATATACCAATGTTTGGTTGATTAATTTGTTATCCTCATTTGAATCTCACAGAAAAGTTGCAGAAATCACACAATTGCAGAAAAAGATTTTTTAGCAGCTACTTATAAACAACAATAGTTCATACAAGATTGGTCTGTAATGGCAACTGTTCTGGAATCAGGAGTGGTAAAAATAAATTTTGCATCAGTTGCAAGTTACCGTCAAGTTGGTACTGTTTATAGTACTTACATACTTTAGGAAAGTAAGGTATATATATTATTTATACATGTATTACTTTTATTACCTTGTCATTTCTATTTATAATAGCTTGGGAACATTTTTTAATAGTATGCATACAAATAAAATACCTAAAATTGATACGAACAAAAATTTAATTTAAAAATTTATTTCATCAAAAAATAGCATAATTGGTCTGCTACAGACCAGTTACACTAAAGTATGTCTGGGTAGTGTAACTGGCAAAGTGTCTGTAAGGTAAGCAGGAATTACATGATTAAGTCCTGCTCCAGACCTATCTTTTCTTTCAGAATATTCTAAAGTTAAATTAAATTAATTTATTTATTTATAATTATTAAATTTAACAAGAGATGGCAGCCTAGCTGCTTACCTCCTGCCAAATTACTTAGTAATTATTTAGTCTTAATAACCTAATAAAGGATCCCAGCTATTAGTTTAATATTTATGAAACCATTAAAAATTTTAAAAACAATACTTTAGATTTTTGTATCACAATAAAATTCTATTATATTATAAAAAAATTAAAAAATTATTTTTAAATACATTTCTGAACTGATTAAATACATTTATATGAAATCAATCTTTAATTTACCAACAATTTATTGATACACCTTGATTACATTATTTCCTTTTTTCATCAAATGCTCCTAATGTAAACATTACTCAACATACAAAAGTTTAGTTTTTAAAGTTGTCATATATTTATCTCAAATAGAACTATAAGCTGTACAGTACTTTTTTTTTATTCCATATTCATCAAATCATGAAAATTATTATAAGAAAAATTTAGTTTCAAATATTTGAATAATTGGAAATTTCTGATGGAGTCCGAGTCCAAATTCTAAGAAAACATTTTTCTGTGGATATTCATGTGGCTATGTATAATGATTCATAACTACACCTGTTTAAAAACATAATATGAATTTCTTGCAATAGTATTCATATTCCTTCATGTCTAAGATAAACATCAGTGAAAAACTGTCCAAAAGTGTAGCTATTTCAATGATATATGAATGAGAAAATACAAAATCAGCTCCTTGGTATCCACACACAATCACAATGGTCACATTTAAGAATCCTTAATCTAAACATTTTTTAAAAAACCTTCAAATATGTTAACATTTAAGATTTGAATATTTTAAAATGCACTCTCTTCTATTTTCTTTTATAATGATTTTATGTGAAGTATGACAAATCTCTGTTTTTAGCAATTGTTCATTTCTATTATTCACCATTTGCTTTTAATATATATTCAAATCCAAATACTTACACTGAAAAATTCGTACTTAATATTAAATTAATTATTAAAATTTCTATAAAAGCAAATTTCAGAATTGTTCTTAATTTATTAATATAGCGATAATTTTTGAATTATTAATTTATATTTGCTATATTAATAAATAAAGATACATTAATCTAGATGTGGTGCAAAAAATATTCATGCAATAACCAAAAAAATTTTTGTTATCTACTTAATTAAATATATCACTAATTAAAAAGAAAAGATAAAAAAAGTCATGCATAAAATAAGAAAAGAATAAAAGAAAAGCAGACAAAAACAATACTACATGCCTTTGCTCTTTGATACATGTCGTAAGTAGCCTGGCAAAAAAAAAGCAAATTTTTTCATTACTATCTATAAAACTAAAATACCACATGCAATATTTATTATAACATATTTAATATAAGTGCTATATTATATTTTTATTATAAAATTAATAACATTTAAATATTATGGAATGATATATATAAAACAAGTCATTATCTTCTAAAATCCAAACAAAATATTGATTACAAGAAAATATTCTATTTTATTAATCTAAATATTATTGATATCACTCACAGTTCACCTTCAAATATTATAATATTACACTAAAATTAAAAAGTAATTTTTGTCATAGAATTTCATAAATATATGAATTCAAATGAGAGAGAAAAAGCAAAATATTATTTCTTTTATACAATTTAGTTAAAATTAAACTTATTTTTAAAAACAACTATCAAAAAGTGAACTGTAAATTTATCAAATGTAAACCAGAATATCAACACAAATTCAAATACAGTATAATGCTATATATATATATATATATACATATATTATTTTTAGAATAACATCCATTTAAAAACGTACTAAATGTATAACTTATTAATAGTAATTCAAAATTAAAATCATAAAAAGTATTATTATTATATAATTCTAATATTTAAACACTTTCTTTTGATTCAAACTTTCTTGGCAGTATAGCTTCAGAGAATTAACATGAAATTATTTAAAATAATGTACAAATAGTATAGTTCAATATATTACAGCAAACTCCACTTTTACAATCTAATTTGGCCACAGAAAACCTATGCTAAAGCATCTATTCTATTTCCTATAAGCTCAGTGTTATAAATTAAAATTATATATATCTCTAGGAATTTATTGTTAACTGAAGTAATAAATGACGAGTGTCTTTAGGTGCTAAATTTAATGGTATACACAAATATAAAAACAGAAAATAAATACTACTGTATAAGCAATTTCAATAAATCAACGTCTTCAAGTAAAAATGGAACAGAATACTTATTGAAAAATTCCTAAAATTTACAATTTTAGAAGAAAATAAAATGATGTTCAAGATTGATTCTTTATGAAATTTCTTTCTAAATAATGATGTACCAACATTGACTGGTTAACTCATAATACTGTTCTGAATCTAATAAAAATTAACTAAACTTATTAAATATAGCCAAAAAACAGCACAGCACACACAACTACAAATTTCAATGCTGCCATTATGTCAATATACTAAAAGTCATTGATAATTGTACAATTTAGCAGCTTGTTTGTAAAGTACAAGATAAATTATTAATCATAGATTCTAACACAATAAAGATAATATCAACGAATTATGCATAGAATATGTCTTTATGTAGAGAAAACTATGTAATGAATCTGAAGATACTCTTAACTAGTCAACTAAGTAATATATTATGAAATCAGCGAAGATCCTTATACATTGAATGTAACCAACATAATTAAGAAGCTAAGAATTAATGTTTCATTAACTGTGATATATGTTAGTCACTCACATTTGGTATAAAAAAACTTTATATATAAAATGAATTAGTGTTCTGCTAGAAAGTTATGCAGCTAGCACTATTATAAAATCAATTCACTCAAAACATGTTTATTTTAATGGGAAATATCATGAATACCATCAAAACTGTTAGATAATATATACCATTAAAAGTTATTGGGAAAAAACCATTTTCATTATATTCTAATTAGATATAATAATGAATAACTAAAAACACAACACCTTATTAATCCAGCAATATTTAATAAGATAATAATAACATTTTCGACTGTTTTAAACAGCCTTCATCAGTTAAACTATTTCAAACTATTTGAAATAGTTTAACTGATTTCAAACTATTTCAAACTATTTCAAACTATTTGAAATAGTTTGAAATAGTTTAACTGATGAAGGCTGTTTAAAACAGTCGAAAATGTTATTATTATCTTATTAAATATTGCTGGATTAATAAGGTGTTGTGTTTTTAGTTATTCATTATCCAGTAAGTTCATTATTTATTGATATAATAATGCAATATGTAGCTAAAAATTTTTAACCTGATTCAAAACATATATCAAAATGTTGAATGCCAGAGTTCACCAATCAGAAATGCTTAATTTTCATATGCAATTTATTATTTCTATCCATTTTAAAGACATCTTTTTATGATAATTTACTACATCAAACAACTATTTATAAATTCAATAACACAAAAAAAAGGGCCATTACCTATTTAAGTTACAAATAAAATATGAATATTTATCAGTTTCATTATGTGGTCCTAATGTGCCAAAGCTGATGCAACATGATGCATATTTCCATCAGAATGAATATGTGAATGTTCAGATATATGCCAGATAGTTTTTTGTATTAATATCAACAGTAAGGATTTGATACTGGAACTCAGTTCAGAAAACATAAAAAACAAACTAAAAATCCAATACTGCATAATCTGACCAAAAACAATTTTACATGAAAAGAAATTCTAGGAACAGCTTTACAAAGAAAAAAACATGGCAATGGTTATACATTCAGTACTGCATACATATTGCTCAAATAACAGACTAACCAATCAAATTTCATTTAACCAGCTTTCATTGATATGCACTTTCATTCATTAATGACCACAATATTAACTTACTGTATTCAAATTTCACAGTACATTTTACACCCACAAGCCTCAAGACAAAACTTTCTATTCATGCTAAAGACCTGATAAGAACCAGATATGAACTATTTACTTTTGCAAACAACATTATAATTCTATCAAAGCTATAATAATAAAATAGAATAATTTTGAAAATAAAAACTAGCCTATATCTTGTCTGGATTATCCTGAATATATGTACAAATTTTCATAGATATTAGTTTGGCTGTTCTCACATAATACTAGATCAAACATTTCTATTTGTTTGAGTATTATGTGATGGAAGCAATGGAAATATATAAGGCGCACACTACATCTACGTGCATTAACTCCCGAGAAGAAATGGCTCTTTCGTTAGCTTGGCAAGCCTTATTACATAAGGATTACTAAGAATGTGGTTGATGTAGGAGATTATACGAGGACATGTAAAGATCATAATAAAAATAATACATCAGACACGTAAGAGAAGAGTAAGTGCAATGCTGAATGAAAAGAACACGATAGATACAACGCATGCGCAATAGATATCACGCAATTGAAACATCGTTTGAATTTCTCTTCTTAAAAAAATTGCGTGACGGAGTTCAGGAATAAGGAATCCAACCATTTTACCTGAAGAAGGACATGGAAGGTGTTTGGAAAACGTTTGTTTTTACAAAATTGTTTATTTTTGTATTTCTACATACCGGTTAGAGGCACGAGTAAGTACATTTTTGTTTATTGAGTATTATGTGAGAACAGATGTGAATAGGCAAATTTGAATTCAATTTTATACATATAAAGTTAACATTTGTTCTAATTTATATATAAATACATATATACATATGATACATGGAATGCTTATATCATTTTACTAGGACAATACTATTTTTTTCCCATAATAATACATATAGCAACTATTGAAAATATGCCTGTCAATGATATTTTACAATAACTCAAATTTTGTCTACTTCAACTATCTTTCCAAAGCCACCATTAAATAAATTTAATTTCTTGCTATTAATATATATGAAACTGACAAACTGAAATAAATAAAAAACTTATAGCTTATTGATGTTGTATTTGATTCTTTTATAATATTTCTACTACAGAAATCTTTATTATAATGGAAATATTAATTAAATATGTACATACACTGTTTTTTCTTTCAACCTCTGATGGTCCATAAAAAAAGACAAATACAAAGTGTAAATAACAAAATTAATTTATTACCAAAAGTTAGGTACAAACATGGTTACTTTTCAACATAATCACCGTGACGATTAAGGCATTTGTCATATCTGTGGACAGGCTTTGCAATCCCCTCTTCATAGAATGTTGCTGCCAGTGACTCAAGATGGGCATTAATGTTGTTTTGAAGATCATCATTAGTCTTGAATCTCTGCCCTCCTAGCCAAGTTTTCAGTTCAGGAAAGAGGTGGAAGTAGCTCAGTGCTAAATTGGAGCTATATGCTGGGTGTTTAAAAAGTTCTAAACTAGGTGGAAGTCTGAAAGGTGGAAGTCTTCACACCTTTAATGAGTGAAGACTTCTGCCTCTTCTTGAACTGAAAACGTGCTAGGAGGGCAGAGGTTTGAGACTAATGACAAGCTTCAAGACAACATTAAGGTCCATTTCGAATCACTGACAGCAACATTCTATGAAGAGGGGATTGCAAAGTTCATCCACAGATATGACAAATGTCTCAATCTTCATGGGGATTATGTCGAAAAATAACCATGTTTGTACCTAACTTTTGGTAATAAATTCATTTTGTTATCTACACTTGTCTTTGTTTTATGGACCATTGGAGGTTGGAAAAAAAATCATCCTCGTATATTATAATAAACATTTCTCAGTTAGGTTTAAAAGCTGTTCCTTTAAACCATAACTGAGATTAGCTGAAAGATTTCAAAATATTTCTGCTATATTGAAAGTATTGATTTTTGTATGTTAGTTAAATTGTTTAAATTGTAATTTGAAATTATTATTTCTTTCTGTTGATGATTTCCAAAACATTCAGAAAATTCAATATGATATACGGTATAATAAACTTTTTAATATTTATATATCTTTGATATCTTATATAATAAATATTCTGACTTACTGATGTTGTGTTTATTATATAAGAAGAGAATGATTTGGCATTTAGTACTATAAGATTATTTTTTATTACAAAACATTCCAAAATTATATCATATAAAAATACTTGAAATTATAAATTTCAAAAATTTTACATAAATGATATGCAGGCTAAGCATTACATGGTATTTATATATTTTACTACTTTAACACTTTACTTTACTATTATAACTTTACTATGATATTTATAAAAAAGTAAAATGTTTAAATGAAACTGTATATAACTGTACACAATTCATCACTATATGTTTAAAGATGTGTATATCAAAATATAATATTATAAAGAACTTTTCAACAAGAAAGAATGTAAAACAGAACTGCTTGTCTACAATTCAGAAGTTTATGTTGTACAGCAGAATTTCTTAAAAAACTAGACATTTTATTTTATTTTTATTATTGTTATTATTATTAATAATTAAAATTTATTAAAATACCTTAAATATGTCTACACTGTCATAAAAATTTAAATGTGGTATACTTTTGAATTAAATTATCTGAATTCAAATAACACTTTAAATATTTAAAAATGTCTCCATTTGTTTCTAATTTATATGTTTATATTTTCCCATTCTGGGTGTAACTAATACAGAACAGGAAAGTCATTACAGATAATTTTAAAATTCTGAAGTATAAAAATTATTACACTACATCTACATATGTTATATTCAAGTTAAACTTAACTTTTTAAATATATCAGTACACTATGTAATTAAATTAATAGTTTAAAATTTAAGGATTTACCTTATGCAGTTTTTAAAAATAATTACAGTTAAAACAATTGTATAAATTATTTTTGTTTTGATGCTAAATTTTAGTTTCTTCTTAGATTATTTTGTTAAAAAAAAATAAAATCATTTATTAAATAAAAATCTAAAAGACTTTTGCATGTTTATCTAAAATAAATTAAATATTTACTCTCTGAACTTAAAAAAATTTCATTTCTAGTTAACTAAGATCCCTAAAATATGCAAGTAACATATCAAATTTAAGTTTCACTGAGATTTATTTATTATGATTCCAATCCTCTACAGTACAGTAAACTCTCTTGCTAATCCAGTCTCTCAATTATCTGGCATAACTTCCAGTGGAATTGCCTACGCATTTCCATTTTCATAAAAATGTTAGTCATGTCACATATCCTGTTTACCTGCTTACTTGAGTTTCATTTATATGTAAATTATTGCACTTCAATGTATTGTATTATTGCTTGCCCACCTCCAAAAAGAATCAATACCAAAAATTCACCAGTACACCAAACCAGTTAAACAAACCCTAAAAATATTTAATATAATAAACATTTTCATCCTTATCAATCAAACTATTTCAGACTATATAAGCCTATTAAAAACCAGAATACCAAATCAAATACATGTCCTTGATTTGGTATTCTGTTCTTTCTTATACTGAAACCATGCCTTTTCTTTGTTACTTTCTATTACACACAATGAAGTGATATAATAAGATAACAGACTATCAATATATCCACTCTATTAATTGCCAAGATGCACTTTGGGTATAAAGCCAACAGAAGAGGGATTTATACCTGAAATGTGTCTTGACAATTAATAAAGTGGATTTATTGATAGTCTATTGCTTTATTATACTACTTCATGTTGTGTAAGAGAAAGTTGGTATTCTGTTTTTTGATTTGGTATTAATATTTTTAGTGTTTGTTTAACTGGTTTGATACTGGTGTGTTTTTAGAAAATATGCACTAGTTCTTGAGGTGTTTAATATATCAATACTGAAGGGCAATAAGTCACAACATTTATTGTCTTTATGCTTATAAATTTTTAATAATCCAGCACTCTCATTAATCAAGCACCTCTCTATGCAAGGAATGACCAAATTAGCAAGAGTCTATTGTACTTTAATAATATTTTATGTATAAATTAATTTTTAAAATTGATTCCAATTCAAATTACTTTGAATTTAATATGCTTTACTCAAAATGTCTAATAATGTAACTAGTAGTAGTAATTAATAAAATATGATTTCTAGAGAAGAATAAACTATGGTAAATAAGTTATTTAGTATGGTAATAAGATCTTTATAGTTAATAATTATTTTAATTATTAATAACTTATTTGAAAAAGCTTAAAATAATTTTATTTCAAGCTTTCTCATTCTCAGAACATATAAATTAATTATAATTTTTCCTGTCATATTTGAAATTTTACAATTAAATTAAAGATTCTGTAAATAAAGAAAATTTCAAAGTGCTAAATAATTTATTAATTAAACTTTCAGAATAAAATCTGCTGTTGAGTTTTAAATACAAAAAAAAATAATCATTTAAATATTGTTTTTGAAACATTAAATTAACTATTTTTCTACTAATATTTTATTAATTCTATAAATTATTAAGTAACATTCTACAGTTTCTTCTGTAAAAAAGAAATTATAATTGTCTTCCTATTAAATAATAATATATAATCATCAGATATTAAGTAAACTAATTTTCAATTAAAAAATATTCACACACTTCTATACAATAATAATACATTTCTTTGGTATGTAAATTTACTTGTAAATTTGCTTGGGTTCAAATTGAGATATTTTATGGTATATTAAAAAATAATTATATAAACAAATTACAATAATAAATTAAGTATATATATAATTAAACATTCAAAAATATACTTTACAGGAAGATCAACTTCACTCCGGTCTGCATTTTCTACTGGCATTTCTAAATCAAGTTTATCTGTTTCTGGTGGTGGGACGTATTCTTTATCATTTTCTACAATGGAAGAAGATAAATAGATGCATGCTTATAAAATAATAATACAAAATTAAGATAAATAGTAATTTCATTTTAAAATAGATTGCCTTAAATTATATTAAAATCTAAGTCAATATTTATACAATCCTTAGATCACAAATATGAAAATGTATACTTAAAAAACATGAATGTTTAAATAATTCATAGAATATAGAATGTTTTCTTTCATTTTTCAGCAAAATGATCTTGTGAAGTTCTCTCTCTCTCAGAACAGACAATTCAAACATTTATTGATGTTTCTAATTATTATTTGCGTGAATTCAGATCTTTGAAAAATCGGTAAACGTTTGTTTACCAATTTTTGCGTGATCACACCATAAGTGGTTCAGGTGTGTAAATTGTTTAGTAGTTCCGGTATGATAAATAGTGAATTTATTTGAATTTATGTAGTTTAAATACAGGCATACCTCACCTCACGTCGGTAATTGGTTCCAGGAGAGGCGACGTAAGTCGAATTTACTTGACTCTGAATCTACTTGTCACTAGGCTAAACCATAAATTACCATTCCCGGTTCTGTATTTTATTTATTAATGCATTTTAAATACTATATGGTTAATAAGGATCTATTTTAAGCTTACAAACAAATAAATTTTAGTTTTTAATATAGTACAGAAAAAAGTAATCTAAATTTATGAATGCATGTACTTTAAATACAGTACATACTTGTAAATGTATATATTTTAATATGATTGTATGTGCTTTAAACGCTTTTCTAGTGATATTATGACTTCAATATTTGTGGCGGACAGACGTAAAGTCAAATAAAATGACTTAAACTTTATTTTTATTTTTCCATATACTTTTTTGACAAATGACGTATAATCGGGAACGACGTNTCCACTTCTTGGATCTAATCAACAGGATCGAAGGGTCAACTGTCCACACCTCAGTCTACCATAAACCAAGTATGGCCTCTCTTTACATCCCGGTTGGGTCATGTGACCCATTCCAGTACAAGACCATCTCATTTTAATCAGGAGGGCATTTTCTCATTTGTCCACTCCAGGAGCTCTAGCCACCAAATTAGCACATATTAAACACCTAGCAACCAACCACAGATATCCTAAGCTGATCCATAGATTGGTTAATTGTTACCACTGCTCCGTACATGGGCCTGCCATCTGCACCCGTGGTGACAACCAACTGGAAGATGAAACATGGATCCCCATCACGTATAATCTGTACATTGCATCATCGTATAAGGAGATCGCCAACAAACGTTGCATTAGGATCACCTATAGAAGATGTCTGACCATCTTGGACATCCTTCACAACAGGAAAAACTCCCCCAGTCGGAACAGACTCCCAGGTGTTTACTCTATACCTCTATACTCTCGCAAAGCATCAACTATCAGTCCAAGCACCAACTGGGTACAAAAGTTGAGATCCATATCCGTATCCGCAGATCTAGACACTATACTAACCTGGTGATGGATATTGAAAATTTTCTGCATCCAGATGGATTGTTTGTAAAGTTTCAACCATAGAAAATTCTTTTGGAAGAGTTATTATTTTATTGTTCCTAATGTCTAAACTTCGTAATCTTGGTAATTTGCATAACATAAAAGGAAATTCTGTAAATTTATTACCTAAAACAAACAATAAAAGTACTATAATAATTAGTTAAATTATCTTTTATGAATTCTATTCATTGATACAATAAACGTAAATAACAAATATAAATGACATTAAATGTAAAAGACCATATTTCTTCATTATAAAACATAAACACAAGTGAAACATCAAAATTTATATTAATTTCATTATTCTAAGTTTTTAAAATAACATTAAAAGTATATTACTAGAGACAATTAAAAATAAAATATCTTATTGTATAAAACTTTTATTAACACTCAGGTAGTCTATGAGCATGCACCACATGGTCCACAGATTGACCTAGTCATCTATCCAAATTATATGCTGTTTAGCCAGAGAAATTATTTTCATACACCACATATCTCTTACATTAAGTTACTAGATAGATAGGGTGTCAAAATATTTTGTCTATCATTATCTAAAGTAATATTTTATAGGTGCACAGGAACATAGATGATCCACAGCTTATCTGTGACTTGATTTATGTGGTCTATGGATAAATAACTGAGAACCACAAGATGGAAAATGGAAAACACAAATTTATTTATTTAATTATAGAATAAAAATATAGTAATTAATATTCAGCAAAGATGTACTGTACAAAATGTCTTTGTATAGCCATAAATGAATTGATATTCATTTTTTAAAAGTTAACTTATATACAAAGGTTATTGCAAAGTATTTTGTACATATTGAAAGTTTTTCAAGTACTAACTAAATCATAAAAGTGGGAATCTCTCTCCTGTTTTCCATACATACACATACAGTAAACTACTTCTTTCATGTAGTTGTAACACAAAAATTATTATAGTAATTATAAAAGTGAGATGTTGTAAAGTAAGCAGTTGTATAAATGGATCTATGGTGTATTTGTGTATATATATATATATATATATACAAGGGTGGATCAAATATAAATGGTAATTTTCTTTTAGAAATTTATTGATTAATAATATACACAAGTGAAAACTTTAGTTCTTCTCTACATATCCTCCTGCAAGCTCTACACACTTTTGCCAATGATTTTAAAGCTTCAATATCCCTCTCTCATAAAAAGATTGAGGGCGAGTTATGAGCCAATTGCACACATGCTCCTCAACTTCTTCATTGCTTGTGAATCATTTTCTTCCAAGTGATTCCTTCAAGAGTGCAAACAAAAAATAGTCACAGGGGGGACAAATCTGGATTTTAAGGACAGTGTTCGAGAGTTTTCCAGCCCATTTTGACCTGACCTGTTTTTGATTTCCGGTCAACAACCTCAGAACCCATCGGGCACTAATTTTTCTGAAGCCAAGATGATCAGTGATAACAGATTGAACACTCCCATAGCTGATATCCTCTTCTGATCAGATTTCTTCAACAGTTAACCGGTGATCACGTTCAATAAGCTCTTGAACAGCACGGATGTTGTCATCTGTAAGGCTTGCCCTTGGGTGTCGATCATGAGAATGTGTCGTTTTCGACACATTCTCACCCACCCTTAAATTCTCTGGCCCATGTATACACACAATTCTGAGACAGTATACTGTCCCCAAACTGTGCCTTCAATCGACTAAAAATTTTCGAGGGTTTAACCCCCTCATTAGTTAAAAATTTTATGATGATGCATTGTGCAACAGACGAATGTACCTTTTGCTTGGTCATGATTGTACTGACAACAAAACCAAGTGCACTCATTAACCAAGCCAGTTCCCCCACTCCTCACAAACCAAACATCAACTTCATTCTACATCATCTAGTTAGGAACTGCATGGTAAGCAAAATAGCAAAATTACCATTTATATTTGATCCACCCTTGTATATATCCTCCCAGAAAAACTTTATATGGGAAACTGGCGCCTAATTTAGATGTTAGGTATACTGGGTCCATACAGGTAATTTCATTTGCGATTCCTTGACTTTCCCAACCAATTATGGCATTATTCCCTGACTTATTAAGGTCTCTGCATTTTCCATTTCCATTATGTAATATTCAGCCAAGTCTATTTAAGCCCATTTTCTACACAATTATATAAATTTTTTTTATTAATAAAAAAACTTTATTCACTTACAAAAAACAAAAAACTTGGTGTAAAATTGATTATATAATTAGTTACATCATTTTTATGTCATATAAAAAATTTCATAATTCTATTTAAATAAGAGTCAATGAATTAATATACAGTTTAAGACTACACAATAACGAGTCTTTCAATGTCCTTTCTAACATCTCAGGAAAATAACAGTCTTATGGCAGAGTCAACCTTTTCTTAGAGGCTGCTGATCCACCTCACTATGCAAAATGTTACAGGACTTCCTTCCAGTGACAGTACAAATAAAAAATAGCCTCTAATAAAAGGTTGACTCCACTGTAAGACTGTTATTTTCCTGAGATGTGAGAAAGGACATCAAAAGACTCATTATTGTGTAGTCTTAAACTATATATTAATTTTACAATTATACTCCTGGCAATTTTATCAGAGTCAATAAAATTAAACTGGTAAAAGAGTCACTTCAAAGTCATTTGTGGTTATTATAAGTTTGATTTTGAGACATATTAATAGTCAATTGAATATTTAACAGTTATCCAAACAAGAAGCATTTTATACTTCAAGAAAAAGATTCATGTTGCAAAATCAAATTTTCTTAAAACAAGGAGGCAGGAAATTCAAAATTATTTAAACAGAATATATTGTGCACTCCTTGAGAGGGAGAAATCACTTATTGCATGCTATTTTTGGTCCAGTATAGACCCATTCAAGGTCATTGCATTTCCCATCCCACTCTAAAACTTATAATGGGAGCAGTGGAGTTTAGGTAGAAAAGCAAGTCATTGTCAATGGAGTTTTTGAAAACCTGACTTTAATTAACTCTATGGAGATATGATATTTTGGTATACTTCAGAAAAATATGAACTTCCTAATTCTCCGAGGCATCTGAAGATGAACAATTGCAGTTAAAGAGAAGACATATCACAGATCGTCAATCCATCAAAATTAGTAAGATTATTATCCCCACATACTGTACATGGCCAGCAGCTGAGAATACAACAAATAAAAGTATATAAATTGTGTGAGGTCCAAAATGTCCTATACACAATATCATTAAGCCAACTGACAGTTCTTGCCTCCCCATAGCATCAACTGACTGCAAAAGGTTAATCAGATGTCATGCAGGTCAAAAAAATTGAGGAGATTGTGTACAGAACACAATTGCAATTGTTTAAGGCATAAAACTGTTTTCGTGTTATTAAAAAAAAGAAAAGATGTAAATGAATAAAGTCTTGTTATCACATTCCAAGTCAATATATATTAGTTCAAGAGATGGTGCACTTGAAATATTTGCAATGGAGTTGGCTTGCTGGGTTTCCTTATGCTCTCTATAAAATAACTCATCCTAGACTGCAATTTCTTACTAACTAAAACACGCTCAAGAAAACCTTTAAATATGCAGCCGTATTTATTAAATTCTAACGTTTTCGGTCATATTCAATGACCTTTCTCAAGAAAAACAGAAAAAATCGAACTCCGAACTTGAATTAACGATACAAGCGTTTTGGAACGTTTTTTAAAAATAATATTCTACTGGAATAACGCCATCTCTATATAACGGTTGTCATTATATAAATACATTAGCTATTAGAACGTTAAAAATATGACGTTCCGGATATAAAATAAAAATAAAAATAAAAATACAGACATAAAATACCAAACATACACAATGTGTTTAGCAAATACATTAAATTAAGAATTTCTGCCCTTAAGTAAGTTGCCGCTGTCCATCGTTCTTGACTTTATAATATACTTGCTCGCCAGGCTGCCGATACTTTGCTTGAATCTCGGAAGTTGATAGCTAATCCTTTTTGGCTTGCTTTGCAGATATGCCAGGCTTCAGCGTACCGGAGGTGCTTTTTGTCGCGAACTATTTGTATCAATCTGGCTTGGTCCCATTCAGCTTTGACCTCTTGAGGGTCAGCTAAGACGTAAGTCGCCAGCGCTGTGCACGGTTGTTCGCTTCTTATGTTTCTCTGGTGTTCTGCCATCCTTTCTTTGAGGGATCTTCCGGTAGCTCC